GTTTGTATGTACATATATCGTCCTTCTAAAATCATTGAATACAGTTTTTTTGTCAAACATTGTTAGCAGCATTTACTGCTCAAATTCTGAAATATATTTTTCTTAGATGAAAAAGAATTGTATTAATAAAAAAAAGGGTGATATTGGTATCTCATATCGCTCACATATAAGTATAAAGAATTTTTACATGCATTCTGTGCAATTTGGGTTTATGCAGAATTTATTTATAGTATGCATTTTATCAATCATTTATTTAGCATTCTTTGCATTTATTAATTACGTGAACTAAAGCCTTTTGTTTTACCATATTTTTTTATGAGTACCTTTCTATCTATTCCTGAAGTGTGATTTTTTTAAACAATTTTTTTAAGTAAAAAATACGTTTCTTAACTGTTTTGGAATTAATAAAACCAGGCAAACGCTATATTTATGACCGAGAATATGATAATTTGATTTATTAAATATAATATTGACTTTTTTCTGTAATTTAGTAATTTTACGTGTATTTCAAATATTAATTAAAATAAAATGTTGTAGCCCTACGATATGACATTAGCTGGTAAAAAATTTCATTGGAATTGATCCATACGTAAGTTGCTTGATATCTGGTAGATGGCGCGAACCATACAAACAGCACTTAATAGATAAACGTCTTTTTATGAGGAATCGTCAAGACACCAACTTCGGTATCGCTTCTCGGCCTTTTGGCTAAGATCAAAGTGTAGTATCTGTTCTTATCAGCTTAATATCTGATACGCCCCGCATGCGGGGCCAGTATATTAAACTGATTTTTGGAAATTGATGGAGATTTAAGAGCTTGCTCTATCTCCGTCGCGGGTTGGCCTGGCATTGCAGTACAGCTAGGATCGGCCCAAATAAATAAATACAAACATAAGTCAACTTTTAAAACTCCATCCACATTGTTACTTGGGGATGACATTGAACAAACAATATTTGTCTGTTAAAATTGATTTTCGAGAAAATAATCGATTTTAGTGGAAAATTTGATTTTTTCATTTTATCAACCATTTATGTTCATTCTTTAATTATGTGAACTAAAAATGGGGAGAGGAGTGGTCCATCAAAATTTTATTTAAAGGGAGCGGCTAGATCATTAAAAACACGTCATCATTTTATTAAAAAAAGGCATTAATATATACTGATAATAAACTTCAAGAAAATAGGATAAATCTTGCATAAGAGGGAGGGGATCTCACCACATCTTACCTAATTTGACTAAAGGGAAGGCCTAATCCAAATTAATAGAGGGGATTTTTATACACTTCCTGTACGTTGTGTGCCATAGCCATTGGGTACCTAAATGTATCTTGCAAATCATAATACAACGTTGATACTATTTCGTTTATTTTCAGGAACTGTTTGAGAAACAGTCGTTAAAAAAGAACTATTTATAAAATATACAAATTAATCCCACATAAAAGTTATATTCCTGCTTAAGTAATAAAACATTTGGCAATACATCTGGTAAACAAGAAATTAACAACAGTTGGATTTTTTTTAAATTTATTATTATTTATAATTATAATGCTTATAGGTTATTTATCGTTAGCTGTCTCTCCGAAAATTGTGTCTAATATAATATAATACAAGACTTATATTTTTTTTCTTGCTAATTTACATACATTTTATACATCGATAAAAAATACACTCTCCCGTAATTTCTTCCAATTTACCTCATAATTCACAGTTAATAGTGTCTATATGTATAAACCAATCAGTAACTAAAACCGTTGAAAATATAAATAATAATCCACCAATCAATTTTGGTTAAGTCTGCTTACAATACAATCGATGCTGTAGTATTTACTGCTATTCTGAGACTACAAAATTATTATTTATTTTTATTGACTCTTTACAAGTTGCAGTCCTGAAATTATAATTATTTTTTATTGGTACCTTTTTCTAGTTAAAT